CTTTACTAGTGACCTGCCCCGGCTTCGCACAGGTGCAATGTGATATGCATATCAACCTTCCACTCTTAAATCACTCAATCTAGCAAAAAAACCGTATCAAGATCCGTTGTGTAAATTTAAAGATCTAAGCATACATAGGGACAGACAGACAGCGGGACGACTTTTTAGTGATTATTTAAATTATCAGTGATGATAGTGTGGTGATTATATTATGATGTTTTTACTTATATATTAGGATATTTTTAAATATCTATTGCCCAAAGACGTTTATTTTGTGACGTGAATTTTAATTGTATACGTCAATCCATTCCTCAAAAGAGATTTTCTGTAAGACAGCAGATTGATGGACAACAAATTAAGCCTCTAAGGATTCCGATAACATCGTTTGAGGTATAGAAGGAACCCTAAATAAAGTGATCTTCTTTCTCCTGCCCTTATGCCACCGAAGTGTGGTTTGGTACAATTTGTGAATAATGCTGTTAATGGTATCAGCTATGTTTTTATGACCGACCGCCTGCCTGACTTGTACCCTCCGTGAGAACAAATACCAGATACGGAATAATTATCTGTATGGGTCACACAAATATTTTGTCCCGTGTGGGAATCGAACACATGACCTCCGGCGCCGAAGTCAATAGCTTGGCACCACCGCCGCCTAGCCCTGAATACAATGAAACGTTCTTCTTCTTCTTCTTCTAGGGCAGTTTGCGGTCCATATGATATCGCCAATGACACAATAATGATAAAGAAACAAATAGTTTCAATATCTAAGAAAATCTTCTAGTTTTTTATTTTTGCATAAACGTTGTTAGTTAATTGTTTACCATGAAAATGTTTACCGCGCCTTGTTGCTGTCGTTTGCGATTGTCACCACTATATTTTCCCGTGTTTAAACTAATTTAAGATGGCGCGATAATGACCCGTTTAAAACAATTTCATCGCTGACATTTAGCAATCCACGGGCGTCCATTGCGCAGTATGTGAGCTGTTTAATCTACCGCGTCAATTTGAAATGCAATAGAGCATTGTGCGGCGCTGGCCACCGAGATAGCGAGCTCATGCGCTAGCCCTGCTTATTTGTTAGCGGGCAGTGATCAGCGTGGCATACTAGAGGATCAAATTCTATGCGCAAATTAGAACGTTTCACATCTGAATTGCGAATATGGAAGTTGTTTAAAATGCAGTTTAAAACTGAACGTAATTGTGAATACTTTAATGTCTTCTTTCCGATAACAACTGATATTTTTAAATATTACCTCACATGTTGAAAGATTTTCATTTCAAAATTACCTTCTAATGTGAGTGTGATTGAGCTTAGCTTTTTTTTCAACACGTATACTTTTATGATATAATGAGATATGTGTAAAACAGTTTAAATGTATTTAAATTTTAAATTCAAATGCTTGGTAATTTTAGTATTTCAAATCAAAATACAAAATTGATTTCAATTAAAGCATTTAAATAAAAAAGGTAAAGTATGTATTTTCAGAATAGGTCTTTCAAATAAAATACCTAAATTCAAAGATTTTAACTACACGATCTGTCAAAGTTCATTTTTCATGTTCTGTCTATATGGCTTCAAATAATAAACGATAAATATTTTAGGATTAGCAACTGCAACTATTCAGATAACTTCGGAAATTGTGATTACTAGTTAATTTAATATTTTTTTAAGAATTTTGAATTAAAGAACTATGCATAAACTAAATAACAAAAGCATTTTACAAATCCATGCTATCCATACTAATATTATAAATGCGAAAGTAACTCTGTCTGTCTGCAAGCCGGGGCGGGTCGCTAATCCTTACTTCCTTACTAATATTGTAAAGGCGAAAGTTTGTATGTATGGATGGATGTTTGTTACTCTTTCACGCAAATACTGCTGAATGGATTTTAATGAATCTTTACAACAATGTAGCTTATACATCAGAATAAGACATAGGATATAATTTATATACATTTCTTATGAATATCTGTCTTTCTGTCTGAATGTTACGCCTTCAGCCTATTCTACGCAGACGTAGTCGCGGGCAGCTGCTATTATAAAGATAAATGTCAGTGTCAGTTTCTTTGTTACGCTTTCACGTCAAAACAACTCGACCGATTATCATGAAACTGTGTAGGTACACTTATTCTTAGAGGTATTAAAATTATTTAAAGGCTTCAACGCGAGCTAAGTCGCAGGCGAAAAGCTAGTACTAAATGTTTATGTATAAAGTAATTCAAATAAAATAGAAACTTCATTATGAAAAAGTATTTCAAATGTAAAATAAAAATAATTATTTTGAATTTTGTACTTGAAGTGAATTAAACGCCCCGTTATATCCCCCACTAGTCGAAAATACCTGTAGGAGTCCACGTCCCAGCGCCAAAAATTATTGATTTAATTGAAATCGTACTATTTAATGTAGATACTTTATAATGATTACGTTATTCATGTTTGCATTTTCATATGAAAGTTGAAATTTCAGCGAAAAAAAGCCCACCGATTTTTTAAAAAGCTGTTATTTTGACGCGAGAAATTGAGTCAAAATAAGGTGAAAAAAATAAAAATTTCAAATCAAATAGATTACAGTGTATTTGGGGCATAAAAAGAAACGTTTTCACCAAATTTCGTGGGGGGAAAAAAACATTTTTGTAAAAGATAAAAATAAAAAAGCCAAAAACTTGTTTATTTGAATTTTTCACAAAAATTTTGAGGCTATGTGAATAAAGTGTACTAAATACAAACGTTGTAGATCTTTTTATTATCTAAAAAAAAATAAATGGCAAAGTTTGCCATTAAACTTTTTTTCGTAGGCTTTATAGTTTTGCCGGAAATCGAGATAAGCTATTTTTACACTTAAAAGGGGTGAGCCCCTTCCACTTCCCGACCTCAGATCGCTCGTAAATAATTAGTAGTGAACAACTAAAACTATAATAGAAATAATCGAATATTTTTGGAATCCTACACCAAGACCTCAACTACTAGTACCATCTAACGGAGAATATATAAAACTAAAAGAAGAGACCTAGCTAGAAAGCGTACATGGCGTAACTATGGCAAGAATTTGCTTAAGGTTTCTGTAGTAACCTGCTAGAGGGCGGTAAATTTAACAGCATTTTCCATTAAAATCATTTTGTTAGCGAAAATTTCTACTTATATGACAAAACCTTATTAATTAAGTAGAGATAAGTTTAAATTATTCTTTATCAAAACTGTGTTAAGAACTCAAGAACATTGGGTTAAAACCCAAAGTAAATTTATAAAAGAAACGCAATTTTTTGGGTATGGTAATAATATTTAACCGTTTCCAAAATTATAGCAACGTCAATAGTTATTTTATTCTAATTTTAAATCCGAGTTAGGACGGTAAAAACCGTTTGGGTTGTTTTCTTACGATAAAAAGTGAAAATGATGAAATACGTTGATGATCTCTACTAGTGTCGGTATGCGTGTTTGTTGTGGTTGATTGAAAGACCTACGGAAAATGCTATAAGCGAATGTTTGCGAAATTATTCCGTTATACTCTCAAACCTACTGACCTCGAGACCGCGACAAATGCTTATCACTTTCGCCTAGCTCGTTGGGTCATTGACTCGTAATTAATTGAGATGTTTCCTTTCGTGTTCCTGTTTAATGTGTCTTCTCGAATCCAAAGCAAAATAATCTATTGAAACTAACCTATCGAAATTAGAAAATAACAATAATATCAACAGTGGCACTTGTCGGAATAACATTTTTTTTTTAAATCACTTTGCTTATTTTTTTAAACATTGGAATGTAGATGTATTTTATTAGATAAAATGCTACGAAATAACTCGATATTCTAGTAGGTACATTTGCATTAATTAATTGTAATGATATGTAACAATGTGCAATCGCATGAACTTGTAATGTTCAAATTAAGGCTAAACAAAACAAAGAAATATAAAAACTTCGTATAATTCGCATGAAACCCTGTAATGAATGAAATAATGAACATTATGAGAATCAAGTTTATCATGAGAAAAAAAATTATCATAAATACTAATTAAGTATTTAATGTTTCTTTATTCCCCCAACTAGTTTCAGAAATTACCTATGTAGGTATGTCACAACACAAGCCGTACAATGAGATAATCTCTATTTTACTGAGTACTAAAAAGTTATACAACTTTCATTATTAATCCATAGACATCACAACGGGATTCAAGACTTAAATTCAAATACCCAACTTGTTCTCGTTTTGTTACTTAATAGTTTAGGTATATATTATAGTTCATAACTGTATGGCACAAAAACATATTTTTTTGCATGCATCAATAATAGACATACACCCGTAACGAGAAAATCATATGTGATTATAACGGTTACTCCAAAGGTAACATTTAGGTATGATGTGAACCGCAGTAATCGCTATAATAATCCTAGAAAGTTATTAAGTTATCACAAAAGTATTGATTACTTCAAACAACTATAAAAATTGTTATTCAATTATTCAACCTTGTTATTCAATTATTTAACAACGACATTTTAGCGATATCATAAGGACCGCTAACTGCCTTAGAAGAAGAAGAAGAACAATGACATTTCTTTCAATGAGAAAGTATCTTATGATCGACGGTTAAAATAACGAGCCTGTTTTCAAGGAATTTACGAAAGTAGAGTAAATCCAAATTAATAAAATTTTATTATCAATATTTCATTTATGTTAATGGCAGATCACGAAAGATATTACAAAAGTCAGTTACTCTCTTGGTAAATTTACTTAAAATGTGAGCTTATATAATGAAAATTAATATAAGTAAATAAAAATTTACGTATATAATGAGAAAAAATTATTCAACCGATTAAAAGGAAATTAGTAAGGCTAAACTTGATTCAAGACAATATCAACTTGTTATTATTTTAGCTTGAAAGTAAGCACTCTATTTATATCGTATCCAAATAAAACTAAGGGAAGTGCAAAAGATGTATCAGATTAAAAACTTAAACGAACCATTCATTTGATCTATACCTGAATACGATAAACTGATAAATGAAGAAGGACGGTGACGGTGACGGTGGGAGCACACGTACGTGGACATGTTAGGCTTTCGGATAATTGAAAGTGTGAATTCGTTGTATCTGTTTACCCCTTTGCGTCACAACAAAGAAGTTGTGGTAGTGCCAAGCAGCAGCTTTTGCTATGTCATGAATAGACAGGCACATCTGGGAAAGTACCACGGCCCTACAGAAGACTGCCGAGGAGTGGAAGTATTCTTTTGCATTTCTTCTGGTGAGTGTATTAGCCAGAGTGCACATTTTAATGGTGGGTAAAGCATCTGCAATCCGTCAAGGTACATGTCACCTGGTCGCTTGCTGCTCGATAAAAAACAAGCGTGACATGATCGAATGTATCTTTTATATTATAAATATTCTGCGTTGTTATTGTGTGAACATTGTAATTGTTGATAATAACAATGTAAAAAAAAATATAATATATATCTATATATTTTTTAAAACTTAATAAAAAATAATTCAATTCATAGAAATGTTTGCATACACATGTTTTTATACACAACTTATTTAATCTTCGACGTAATGCAAAATGTACTGTGTACGACAATGAAACAAATCATCGACTGAATATGTGCGGAATCTACATAACATATCACCTCCACTCCTTCTATGTAGATAAGCAAATAATAAAAATGCTCAGAGTATATTACCGCGAGAGGATATCGGTTAAACGAGAATGCATGATCCAATCCCCTAACGGAACAAACGCCGTCCCGTTATGTCATAGTTTGAATGCACTTTATTCGCAAAATTATCGAACGAACACTGCGATAAGGAATAAATTTAAAAAATGAAACACTAAAATAACAAATAAACAATAAAATAAATAGCTCGTTCTCCACTTAAACACAAAAACGTATTTATTAATAAGGGTAATTTAAGTGGGGTTGCTTGAGGAACAGTGTATGAGGTTAGGCGTTTCACATACACTGCTGCAGAAAAAAATAATGAATATGAAAAAGAATAATAAGAATGGGAATGACAGAAAAATATTAAAACGAAAAGATTTTCAACCGAACTTAGGCACGAGAGGAGACATAAGGCGTGGCCCCATCAACTTTACGTCAGCATCATCGAACTTATCAGCTTATCGTGTTAGGACTAATTGTCGATTCATACATAAAAAAACAATTTTAATAATAACTAATTGCATTCACGAAAAAATAGTAATATTATTAATAAATTCAGAATCATTCATCAAATACACAACATCCAATATCATTCTAGATACTCACTGCTTTCCAAGCTTACTCGGAGCGACAATAATAAAGGGCAAAGTTATCAACTAATTGGGCAAACTACCGACACACTGCAGTAACTTCTGTAACGCAGAAGTGTAAATAATTTTCTGGACTTGGTCGGTGGATGCAGGTGGCTCTGGATTGTGCTTCGTGGCGGTCTGTGTCCAGCATAGGACTCGAGCAGGCTGAAACGATGTGTATGATGATGTCTATGTATAATGTCACTTTGTTGATGGAGTCATAAAACTAAAATTGGATTGGATTGGATTGGATGTCATTTGATAAAATACTACATCCTCAAAGGCGATTGACAATTATCAATGTAAAGTAACAGCTTATTTTTAAATACAATATTTGATTACATTTAGTTTATGTATTTGTTGTTATCTCTTTTGAGATTAAATTTTTAATCACATGGAGTAGGGAAATCAACATGGTTTATTGACATAGTTTATTTTTCTTGGGTAAAAATATGTGTTATAAATATAAATATGTGATATATTTGCATTTTGCACATTTTTTTAAATTTAATTTTCGCCCCTTACACCTTAGTATAAATTATTTATTTGATTTTTTTTTAGAAATATAAATATAAACTTATATTATAATATAAATAATATAAATTTCAGTAAAAATGGTAAAAAAAAAATGTGAAAAATACCTTGACTGGACAAACGACATTTCTGAACAAAGCTTAAGCTTATTTCACATATACACATTTGATTTATATTTATCTTAAAACCTTAGACCTAAGGCTAATGGTTACAAATTACTTTATAAGAACGCGGGAACTGAACCCATAGTAATGTACACAATGACCATAATTATAATCCACATTTATTATAGGCTTTCAATATTCCATTTTAAACGAAATCATGCACTTAAATTTAACAAATACTAAAAGAAATTAAATACTTTACTTCGAATTTGCCTTGTGTTTGTAATTCGAAAAAAAGTAACTGTAGTTACTTACTTTGTTTTTAAAACAGTTAATACATAATTTGTACCTAGTTATCATAGCTATAATAGATTAGTTCCAATATTAGAACATTGACTGTTATTACAGTTAAATCATTTAAATATATATTTTACAGGTAACTGTACTGAGATAGCAATAAAATATTTTAAGTGCAAATTTGAAGGTTATTGACTCCTAAGCTGATATAGGAGTATGCATTACGAAAATAATAAAGCCCATATTATGTGATAGATATTTTTAAAACTTCGCTTTGAATTGATTAGTTGTAGGTGCTTTGAGAAAATGACATCTACGTTATACTATACATGTAGCTAGAAGTTATTTAAAGAATAATCTAATAGAATCGTAATATAACGGGCCAATTGCTAATAAACAGTTGCAAAACCTTGAAAATTTCTTCAGTCCTCTGTTATTCTTATATTTAATTTCATAATAACTACGTCGATACTCTGTTTTCAATTTAAAAAGAAATACCACCACGGCACTTTCAATCAAGTCGCCTTCAACAGAGCTTCGTACTCCGCAGAATAAATTTTCAACACTAAAGTTGTACGAAGATATTAAAGAGGGCATACAAGTTAAAAGCTCTATTTTCTTTCATCTGTTTGTATGTATTGTCACGGAATGCCGCGCAGTTACTTTGTTAGTTCGCGCTCTAAAGCTTCGAGATGCCTTACGAATTTCTCGCGTCAGGTCTCGAGAGGATTAAAAACGCAGGCAATTACACCGGCCTGGTGAGCCGCACTATAATGTGTGGTCGCTTATTGAGGACCCCTTTGTGAGGTATTACGGTGAGATAGCGGTAAACACAAGTGCACGGTCAAGGCTTGTATAGGCGCGATCAATCGTGGAACATCCATTCGCTGCCCGCCTGCGGAGAGAACGCGACGCACTTGCCGATTTTTAGATCATAAAAAAATTGTCTAAATTCTAAGGAACTGTATACAATATATTCGGTAAGTTCTGTAAAGTTTTATATTATCATTCCTTTTTTTTTTATTCTTTACATTTTTCAAATTCTTATGTTAAATTTATTATTATTAATAAATAATATATAAAATATATATAATCTTCGATATATTTACCACAACAAGAGTTTTATTGGATTAAATTACAAAATAAATACAAATTTCCAAAGGTATTATTAATTTACAAAGAGCACTATAATTGTACTTTTGTTGAAAATAAATTTAAATTATTTAACTAGATAGAATATTTTTTTTACATGAAACAAACACGATATTTACTTGGAACTTGTAAACTTTCTGGTTAATCTATAATCAAAACCATGAAAATGCGTATGCTAAACAATTCGAGAATTTATTAATCGCAAACAATCGCTTTAAACAATTAAAAAGAACAATCGCAGGATGGTTAAAAGAAGCTCGGGTCATTATTGAAAACTGCAAATAATCGTTCAATCCAGAATGTATTGTGAATATTTCTTGATTGTAAGTGCATTTTACACTGTTGAACTAGGCGACGTCAACAAGCAATTGCCTAATAGAATAAATAAACAAGGTGTTACGGGCACAATGTAAAAAAAAGCAAAGCAACATTTATTTACATCACTACCCCGTAAATAATTTAGCATTTTCGTTTCAGAAATCATGGATGAAATCTTTCGTCTAACATTTGCTATTATATTAATGATCCGGATCCAATGCGCGGTTATTGTGAACGATGAATTTGTCACCGTCGAAGACGAACCGTACAGGCAAAACTTAAATGAAATCCTAAGTTTCGACACAGAAAGGATAAGAAGTGGAAGGATATTGTGGCCGTATCCTTTAAATAATAAAACTGAACCTACGGCGTCCGTAACTAATCAGGCAGGAAATACGGAAAGCGAAGACGATGTCAAAATGAGAAAGAAAAGATTTCTACACTGGTCGTATCCACAGAGCCCAATAGTTGATATGATGATGCAGACGATGGCAATCAACTACTCTCCAACTGTCTCTAATGATCCATTTGATTTTCTACGAGACTCGTATCCATTGCCGAACGGTAAGTTTTTGGTTCAATTCTCACAAAATATGAAACAATAAATAGCAATTAAATCTGATTTACCTTCAAACCGAGATAGAAAAAACAATGGCTAGGTTGCAGTGTAATCATGGCCAAAACACAAAAATAATTTGTTGATTGTTTTGCTCACCTACTTACTAACGTTGCCTGAATGCTGACCGGATACACATGCATACGATGCCAACATTTATCGTATTTATCTCACATATTGTTCGTTATAACTATTACCTTCCTCATATATTACATTTTGTACAGAAAAATTAACAGCAATCCTAATATACTTACACGAGTAGATTAGCTGCTAGTCGAGGACTACGCATCAATTACAATTTTAGTAAAATTAATCAAATGTTACTTAGATGATTATGACCACAACATTTTGTTAAAACACATCTTTCATAACCATGTCCCATTTGCATTTTTGCGAGTAACGTGGCTTTCAAAACTTTGATAAAGAAAGAAGTGAAAACACAAGTTGAATAAAAAAGCAAAATACATTATTCCACTTTTTCGACCAGTTTTCGTCCTATCGTTGTGTGGCTTTAAAATTGACGCGCGGGCTTGAATCTAACTGGAATGGTTATTTTTTTATTTAAGGCCTCGTGCAGTAATCTCAGTACTAGACTTGAAACTAGTCTAGTCTCGGAAAATAAAATATCAATTTTATAAAGTCTAAAACGCTAGTCTACTTTTCTGCTACGTTTAATCAAAGAGTCCTGCTTTTACGTTAGCCCATAATACATTTTTTTCCTATAAAAAACACTACATCCAATAATTCTCATAAGTTCTCCAACAAATCTATTAAAATCGTATAGAAGTAGATTAATGAAAAGTATAAAATTACAGATGATGGGAAACCCTTGGAAGAATACGATTACGTAATAGTTGGTGCTGGCACATCAGGCTCAGTGCTGGCGGCTCGGTTGACTGAAGGAAAACCTAAAGCAACAGTGCTGCTGTTAGAAGCTGGAAAACCGGAGATGCTCCTTTCAGACATACCAGCTTTAACCCACTACCTTAAAGAGACCGAATATGTTTGGCCTTACACGATGGAACATCAGTCTGGTGTTTGTTTAGGTGAGTGAATTTGATGACTAAACAAAGATCTGATATAATTAATGTAATAAGAAATGTTTCTAAACGACATTGCATGTATTGTAATACCGTTAACGGGTTTACGTGCACGTTTGAAAAGAACTGAATCGCATCAAGTAAACATGTAAGCAAAAGCGATAAAGGATCGTTATGTTGACACATAAGAGATAAGATTTTAAGTGATACTATTGTCCAAAAAATATTTTACAATACACGGGCTACTTTTTTTCGCAATACGTTATATGTATAAAATGTAAGTTCTGATAAAAAAATAATCATTAAACTCGGTTCCCCAGTCGAAAGTTCTGGGGTAACAAACATAAAAAAAAATTACAATCGAATTGAGAACTTACTCCTTTTTTGAAGTCGATCAAAATACCCTTTCTCAAGAAAGATAAAGTATTTCATAATATTATAAGTCTATTCGAAATTATTCTAAAAATAAATTTAAATAGATGTATTTAAATGGAAAGTACGCATATATAAAAAATAGAAAACCATGGCAAATAAACAAAATTAAGCTAAATTAGCTTCAGTTTGTTTCCCCCGTAGCAGCCAGTTAACGAGGTTAGCCTAATATCGTATTTGCTTCGTTTAAAGAAAACTACGAACAAAGATAATAGCACTCTGAGCTTATACAACTTTGGGGAAAGAGAGATTTCGTAGGAGATTCCGAAGTACAAAATTCTGTTAAAGAAAATTTTTTGTTTTCAAAAATATTTGTATGTTTTTTAAACAAAGCCCATGAGGGAACAAATATCTCGGGGCTATTTTTATGTTTTAAAAATAGATTGTGAAATTTATCGCAAGAAAGAAAACTGCACAAACCAGTTCCACGAAGCGAACTATAGAAAATTGTAAACAACTTTTTTTTTAAAAGTTTCGAAGTCCTGTATTAATTTGAGCGGTACTGTAGCATTATGGGGATTTTTATTGCTGTAAATCCATTAAGAGTGCTTCTTACCAGTTTTATTCGCGTCGGACAACAATAAGTATGTCATTTCAAAATTAACTTACCCTGCATTAATTCGATAAATGAATTACGAACTCGTCGCGAATTAAAGTTGTTACATTAATGGCTCTCGAGCGAGTTTTTGCTGCGTTCATGAACCAAGCGATATTGTTTCTTATGTATTTTGCAGGGAGCGAGGAGCAGCGTTGTTATTCACCACAAGGCAAAGCTGTTGGCGGTTCCAGCGTTGTAAACGACATGATATACTCGCGAGGCCGCCCCCAAGACTGGAACAGGATCGCGGCGAGCGGCAACTACGGGTGGTACGTTGAAAACAGTTTTATCTTATGAACCACTTTGCATATTATTACGGAGCCTCGACGCTCCCTTTTCTTGTGCCACGGCTGTTTTAATAGCCGCCTCGGGAGCGGGCCTAAACTGTATCTTACTTATTAAGTCAAGACGTGACCCTTGCTGAAGTTGAATTGGGATTTACCACTTACAAAGTACAACCTAACATTTGGTACAAATAACACCTGTGTTCGTTGTTGAAGATAATTATAAAATAGATAATATACATAATAATTTAATTGCCGATATGATGGCGTCGGCACCGTTGTTCATGGGTACGGTTACAAAACGATTGTTGTAATTGTTCCAAATCTGGGTGTTTGTTCCCACGAAGGGTTGACACTAATACCACAAACAACATTATTCACAAGTTATCACCGTCCACCCCCTATGATTTCACATAAAACAACATCATTTAAAATTATCTAACAATGAAATACTGATGCCTTCATCAATATAACTTAATCTTACTTGACTTAATCGTTTGGTACAAATTTCTTAATAACCAACGAGCTTAATCTTGATGTAGCAAACACCTCAGTTCGCATAATTTTAAATAAAAAATTATCAATGTATGACGTCGTGAAGATTTTCTTTTAAACCTTGCTAACACGTCTTCTGTAGCTATCTTTAATCTAGATTTCAACGAGTTTAGACCCAAACATAAAGGTGAATCTTGCCCCCTACTCTGAGATTTGATTACGATAATGATTTTGAAATTAGAAACATAAAATATGGCAATCTTATTGGTCTGTGACGACTTGTCCCACGCCACAGATACGTTATTGTTGAGTTTTGCAGTTTGGAATGCTGATATAAATTACATTTAAATTTATAAAACGATCATAATCTTCATTTAATTCAAATTTGTTTGTTTTTACATTAAATGGCAGTAGTGGGACGATTCTTTTATTATACAAATGTTAATTATAAACATTTAGCGAGGGAGTACTATGTACCTGTACAAATAGCTTTCATGCGATCGTGCCTCGAGGAGTCACCTTATAATATAATCCGATAATTAGGAAAAATTTTAATATCATTAAAAAAAATTTTTTTTTAATAATTTTTTGGTTGTAATGAATATTTTAAATAAAGAAACATACGCTATAAGACTAAGAAATTGTTGCGGCTGAAATTTGATAGTATCCTATAATCTTACTAACTTATCACGTGTTAGACGGCGAGAGAAGACATCGTGAGGAAGCCCTCTGTACAGAGGAGGCCTTTGCCCAGCAGTGAGACATAATAATTTATGCTGTTACTTTAATATAATTTGTAACGACCTTTTGTTTAACATAAACCTTGTACTAAAGAAGATCAAACTAACATAAAACATCGTAGTGGATTTAAAAAGGCTGAAGCTCTGAATATATTCGTGAACTTTACGTTACCCATAGTAGTATAAATATTGGTTTTAGTGAAAAACAAAAACATGGTGAATAAACGTAGATCCATTACCTACTATCATGTATATTATGTACAGGTATATACAGCGTGCACAACATCGACTTAGAAGTCGAATATTGTACCACAACGTTTTAATACTAAGTGGTCAGAAAAATGCTGAACAATTTATGAACACAGCGCATTAAATTGAGCATAATTTTACTATAAATATCAGTTAACAAAAACGGTTTTAATAACCAACTTTATGTCTACGTCATTAAAACGGCGCTGATTACAACAAAAATAATTCTTTTTTTTTTATACTTTGATCTTAGCCAAAAGGCCGCGAAAGCGATAATTTTTTTTTTTTCTGATCTTATACATGTATTTTATGTTACGGACGACTAGATAGGTGGTTCAGGATCGTGCTTCGTGGCAGTCTGTAGGGGAGGCCTATGTTCAGCAGGTTGAAATGATGATGGTGATTATGATGACATAAGAAAACGAAATTTTTACAGATGAAGATTTTTATTTTCAAAAGACAAAACACATAACATTATGCTATATGCAGAAACCAGTAGTAGATTTGCCATAACAGATTATTCTTTTCATTTGCTTTTATTATAAATAATATTATTATTTATTTAATAATTTATAAACATTTACTAAATATAAATGTGTTTACAAATTAAGTTGCAAGTCTTCTAGTTACTACGTGGTTCCAACTAATTAACAGTCACCGCATTATTTTTTATAACTGCAACAGTAACAGGGCGATACAATTTCTTTATAAAAATATCGTCGGTATTTACTTTATTGTTCCTTATTATTGGAATTACAATTATATTCTTTATACACGTAAGTTCACAATTAATGCACTGTAAAAAAATAGGGAAAGATCAAAACAATATAAATTCTTGGAACGCAGCCAAATCACTTTCCTTTGGTAGGATTTACGAGTTACCAGAGGATTTCTTACGAAGCGTTAACAATCTTTTCGCTTCTTGAGATCTGGTTTTCAATTTACTCTAATAGATTATAAGAATAATTTCATTTTACATAATAACAAGCAGTACTATATAAAGTTTTAGTTATATTCACTTTTGCAGCCCATAGTTGTGACATAAAAGTATTTGCAATATGCAAATACAAGACTTATAAATAGCACTAATGAGAAAAAAATGTTTCAAATACTTTATTTTTATTATAATTAATTTCGAATAAGTGAATAATTATGGTGTAAATCTTCTTTTTATCGAAAAGGTCCATTTTCATCAGTAGCTAAAGTGTTCAAAAATTATTTATCGTCAATATTTTTCAATTCAATCTCATGAGATTTCTAATTTTGTATACAGTGAAAAGCCCTTAGAGACTCCATGAAATCATTGACCTATCACAAAATTTCCATTACGTGCGTTTGTAAAATAAACCTGGAAAAACTGACAGACTGCAATACCTAAATTTATCTGTTCATAAAATAACAAATTCGGACTCGATGGCGCAGTTGCCAAGTTATAGCTTCGATTACGGGGGTCATGGAGTCGATACCCACACGGGAAAAATATTTCTGTGACCCACGGATAATGGTTTCGTTCTTTATTTCTTTAAAAGCTTCTAAAGGCATCTCCTAGACATACATAACAATAAAAACCTGTTTATATGTAAACTAATCAACGGTATATTAACCTGAAATTTCACACATATAAATTTAACAGCCCTCTCTAGATCAAAACGAAAAGTTAGAAATTTTTTTGTAACTCATCAGTATTTAACGAATCTTGTCAATATTTCAACACACAATCATTTGTCAAAATCTATACTATAATAAAAGAGTAGAATCGGCGTGTCTGTACATTGAATATTTTTATGAAAAACTGAAAAAGGGTATCATAAAAAGTGTTATAGGAAACATAAAAACCATTTTTGGAATTTTTGTCTGTCTGTCTGTCTGTCTGTTAGAGATAAACTTGAAAACTACTTATCGGATTTTGATGCAGTTTTCACTGGTTACTTAAGCAAAGCTTGGGGCGGGACCTAGGCTTTGTTTCATCTCAATCGGTTCATGCCGACCATTTGCATTATAATAATAATAATGCGAATTTCTTCAATTGAGATTTGATTAGGTACGATTTTAGTTTTGCTCGGTATAGGGATATTCTTGATTTTGGTTTGCGATTTGGTTAGTTGTTAGGAACAGTAGTGGATTTCTCTATAGGCCGCGTACTCGGCGGGCCAAATGTAGGGGGCTGCAAATTAGTGGGGTCTTTTAGTAGCGTTGCTTGCCTTTCGCCTTTCGCTTCTTTGCGTAGGCGATATTCCATGAATATTATCAAATCAAGCGGGCCTGATAAGTAGGTACCATTCATCGGCTCCATAATGTCATGTACTAACTTTCTTTGTTTAATTTTTTGTGCCTTCCAGCGAGTCTTTTCTCTTAATCTTTAATGAGCCTAGGGTGACGAACGGACAAATCTGTCACTGTTTAGAAATGTAGATTTGGTTAGGTTAGGATATTCGGATATTAAAGGGGCCGAGTAGGAAGGCGCGCTGAACATTTCAGTTGTTCCCCGAGAGGGGGCTGCTGAGGCGGCCAGCGCTGGCAGAGTCGCGGAAGTGTGCGAAAGCGTTCCCGTGGCCCTGCCTATATGCGCCTAGGTGGAATATTGTGGGGGTTTTAGTCGGTGCGAGTCCGACATAACCCACTCTCCCCCCCGCGAGGATGGGTATGCGTTAGGCATTTCCCCCACGTTAACAAAAAAAAATTGTAATTAAGATACTTATTTTGTAGTATTTTCTAAATCATTGAATTTACCTATTAGTATTTATTACAAAAATGCCTCGATAGAATTTAAAAGAATGAGAACGATTTGATCTCAACAATCTAATGAAAACTAAACACGACTTAGTGCTGATACCCATTTCGCCATAGACACCATTCATTATCTCGCACATTGGAGTCAGTTATATGTTAATTCGCGAATACCACTCGCTAGATCACTGACCATTGCGCAGTTGTCAAGGCATTGCCTTCGGCATGAGTTCGATTCTCACACTGGACAATTATTTGTGTGACCCATAGTAATTGTTTCCCAGAAGGCAAAACTATGAATGTGGTATTTAAAGTGATATTTTATTGTACACTAGCTTTTCGCCCGCGGTTCAGCCCGTATGTAGCACATTTTATATCGTGCTTAAAAAGTAGCCTTCCTCAATAAATTGGCTATCTAACAGTGCAAAAATTTTTCTAATCGGGCCAGTAATATCTTGTATTGACTGATGTTTTTGCTTTTAGTCCCGAGACTATAAAAGCTTCATCTGACGCAGAACCGGTGGGCTAGCCAGAACCCACGGGTTTGGGCTCTCCTCTGTGGGTAGGGCCACGCATGTGCTCATGCGTGCGTTTAACTATGGTGTGTCATCTAAGGGCCATCGAGGTCGCGATTCGGTCCGAAACCCCGATGGCCGTCGACTGTGCAATTAGCTAATCGGTGGCTGGGAGCGGTGAGAACCACCCCGGAACGCGGGTGTACCTTGTGTACGCGTTGTGTTGGTCTCGCCGTGCTCGGAGGCGAGGGCGAACTAGTGTGTTTGTTGTTGCACTAACTGTGGGTGTAGTTTTATCCGGCGGGACCCCCGGCGGTGGGTCCGGCGTATCAAAGTCCCCTTCCTCGACCGGGTCGATGAGGACGTTTCGCGGGCGACGCTTGTTGACGTTCGCGTTTGTGTTGTGTTGGTAATTTGCTGCGCTTACCACCAGAGGGTTGGGATGATGTTCGGCTCTATCGAAGAACCGTTTTGTCAAATCTTTAAAATGTGCGCGGATCGTCGAGAGTCTGCAATCGCTGTGCAGGTCGACGTTGCGCTGATACCATTGCGCACCGGTTGCGCGGCGGATAAACCTATTTTGTACTATTTGCAACTTGTACAAGCGAGTACAAGTGTGGGCGAAGGTCATGCATGCGTAGGACATAATAGGTCGTACGCAGGTCTTATATAATAATAATTTGTGCCTTAGGGGCATTTTACTTTTAGCATTAGTTAAATTGTGTAGCCGGCCGGAGACGAACGCGGCTCTATTGCGAACGTTATTAATGTGCGTAGTAAATGGCATACGCGAGTCGAAAGTGACTCCTAAGTATTTGACCTTTTTGACGAGGGCCATTATAAAGATATGACGGGTAAGTACTTCGTTGACGAGGGCCATTATAAAGATATGACGGGTAAGTACTTCGTGTGAAGTGAATCGCCACACTCTTTTCGGGATTTATTTCTATTCTCGATTTGCGGAACCAATCGCCGAGGCGGTCGGCGGCGCTTTGGAGTCGAGTGGTTAGGATTCTAAGGTTGCGGTCTGAATAAAAGAGCGCCGTGTCATCCGCGAAAAGCGCGAGATTGACGTGGGGGTCTTTAGGTATATCGCTCGTGTAGAGCGTAAAGAGCAAAGGTGAGAGGCAGGAGCCTTGTGGTACGCCGGCCGTGAGGCGGCGGCTTGTGGAGAGGGTGCCTTCAACTCGATATCGAAAGGAGCGGTTCGACAGGAAGGCACGGATGGTGTGTACGAGCCTATCTGGCACTTTGTGTGTGTACAGCTTGTAAAGCAAGCCGTTGTGCCAGACCTTGTCGAATGCTTTTATGATATCGAAGAAAAGAGCCCCTGTACTAATATTTTTAGGGTGATTTAGGCCTTCTAGGATATATTCCGTTAGGCGGAATAGTTGATCGGGGCAGGAATGTCTAGCTCGAAAGCCGAATTGTTCCGCCGGCAGAAGGCCGATGGAAAACACGTGCTCATTGAGCCTGTTTAATAAAAGCCGCTCGTGGAGCTTCCCCAGACAACTGAGGAGGCTGATGGGACGATAACTAGAGGGCTGGTTGGCTGGTTTATTCGGCTTGCAAATGCCGATAACCGTGGCTTCTTTCCAGTCGTCCGGAAAGGAGCAACTGGAGAGTAAAGTATTGTAAATGGTCGCCAGTAACATCTTATATTGACTGATGTTTTTGCTTTTAGTCCCGAGACTACAGAGATAAGCGGCCCAGGAAGAGCTTTAAGAATTTTGTTACTAATATTATCTGGGCCCGGGGCGGATTTGGGTTTTAAACTTTTAATAATATCTTGGACCTCTTCGGGGGTCACTGAACTCAAAGAATCGCCTTCCGGTGGAAGCGCAGCCTTAATCTCGATTACGCGGTCCATCTCCGTTAGGTGGGCTATATCGATGTGTTCGCGCGATGGTGTACATTGCTGCTCTAGGTTGTCCGCAAGACATTCGGCTTTTTCGGAGTCATCTAGGGCTACTGAAGCGCTATTAAGTCTAACTAACGGCGGTAGAGATTCGCAAGGGTCTGCTTTCAGACTGCGGGCCAACCGCCAGTAGGCGGTGTGCGATGGCTCGATGGCCAGTAATAACTGAGATTAGTGAGTTCAAACAAACTGATGCTAGCTAGACTGCTAGCATGTGTTTGATACATGTATCTCATAAACTGTGATATTTAGACAGTTGAAATTTTCACAGATAATGTATTTCTGTTGACGCTATAACAACAAATAAAGGAAAGCAGAATATTTTTTTAAGTGTATAGATTATGCTATGGAACTCTTCATTCACGATTGCGACTCGCAATCGTGGCTGGTTTTTAAATTTATATAATCTAACAATCATCATCATTTTACAGACCATAATATAATTGTAGTTAACTATAGTGTCATCCAATTCAGCTGTAGCGATTACTTTTTTTTAAGTTGATATAAAATTTTTATTTATGAACCGATTTGAATAAAACTAACACTAAATGTTAAGTTAAGTACTACAATGCATAAGTGAAAGTTGCACCCAAATCGGTTAAGCCGTTTCCGAGATTATGCGCACAAACGCACATACACACGGACAAAAATTTTAACAACCATTGTTTTGGGTTCTATTGTGTTGATAAAGGAGGATCTTTAATAATAGTTTTTCTCAAATATCTTCCGTGTACCGACAAAGACAAGTAACATTTTTATTATATGTGTAGATATCTGTCTGTATCTCTCTGAATTTTTCGCTTTCATCCTATTCCACGCGGACGTAGTCGCAGGCAACAGCTAGTAATATAATAATCTTGTAAAAACCATTGAAAATTTTAATGATGGTATAGACAAATTTAAGAGAAATCTGTCCATTAATATTTTTTTATTCAAATAGAACTTCCTCATCGTCTCTATTATTTTTATTTATGTTATTTTGTTAAAAAAATATTGTTCAGTCTAATTCAGTCATAAATCCACTACTGCACTAATCCTTTGTTAGCATTTATTTCTTTTTTTTAGCTGTTATCACTATAATAATAACTTTTGAATGTGGTTTTTTCACCTTAATTAAGATACCATGTAGTTATTTGTTTTTCTAAGCATGTTTCGATGCGTATCTTGACAGTAAAATAAATAAAAAAATATAATGCAGACCACAACATATAACATTCATTGAATGTGGGGTACAGCAATTATTGTCCATTTTCGTATTTCTTACGTACAAACAGCACTTTTTCGTATTTATCCCAGATGTACGGCGACAATTTGACCACCTGTCACTTTTGAGAGTAAATTAACACTGAAACGCGGACAGCATTAACTAACTTTGTCTTCCTCGTTTACTCGTAAAAGTCGTGACAGTTTTACCTTATTTCCTCACAGCTTTTATTTTGGAATTTTAAGCAGTTTAGATGTCTTTAAAACTAACGTTTGTATAAAAGCTATCAATTCATTAGATCATTTTTGACTCTTGCTCAGTACGAAAGAGTTTGGTGCCTTCTGTCGTTTTCTTCAATTTATATATCAGGTAAGACCAGAATCAGAATGTAGGGATTGTTAGTAGCAGTTACAAACATAAGAATTAATTACTATTAACATTTTTATCAACTTTTAATTGATGAATGCTGAATAGAATATGCCTTGAAAGTCAATCTTAGCTATTATTTATTATTTACATGCGTTCAAATACATGGCAAAAATTTCAAAAGTAATCCCTTTTGAATTTTTAGCTTCAGGAATATGACAGTAATAGACGATTTATTACTGATTAAAATTTGTACAGTCAAACAGAAAATAAATGTCATAGAGAACTGCTGTCATAGAGAATAGCTGCTGCGTGGCCCTGCCACCGTAGAAATTAATTGAATATTTAAAATATTTCGATTCGCTAAATAAAAAATAAGAAAACTTAAGCTTATAACAAAAGCGTCTATTTAAATGTTGTTTTAAATAATATTTCCATGAAATCGTGTAAAGGTGATTAGATCTGACAAGTTTCATAAAATATAAAACACGCGACTACGTTAAATATAAACACGCGCCTTTAATTGAAATAACTTCAAATACCACTGACTGAAAATATTATACTTATAACATTTTAAAAAGCGCAATGTCATGTTCTATATCTATAAATCATAATAATGAGCAATCATAATCAGATGATAAGCAATAAGTCTTCTAGAAGGAAGTTGGAGTCTGCCGAGCCTTATAAAATATAGCCTAATTATGATTTGAAAAATAACCTTATTCACCAGATGTTAAGTGTTTACTGCTGCCCATGGACTTCTAAAACAACCATGGCATTGCAGATTCACAGTGAAAGTTCAAAACAGTGGGCCTCGGGTACCTCACCCAACTGAAGAAATACAAAAGTAAAATTCCACATCACATTGGTCATCTGTGAGACCGTGGCGTAATCAATTAACATACATATCTTATAAATGTAAATTTCAAAGCTTCTCCCTAAATTATATACGTAAATAAATAAATATGTTTTTCAAAATAAATGCAGATACCTTTAAATATTTACAGGTCTTATGAGGAAATTCTACCCTATTTTAAGAAATCGGAAAGGTGCGATCTCAAGAAATACAGAAACGCCCCGTTTCGAGGTCGCGATGGTGAGCTAACGGTCGAGAACGTTCCGTTCAGGTGAGTGAATAGACTCAATCATTGGAATTATCCGTGTGCCTACAGGAATTTTGATAAGGAAATATAGAACATTCCAAGTATAGACCAAAGCATGAGCAATTACTTTAAAATAAATGTTAAAAATAAAGGTAAATGTATCAATGACAACTGATTGTATATTTTGTATTATACACTAATAACACTGTGTTATAGACAATTGACATAGACATGTGTTGCATGCGTATCAGTGTAAGAATGGAGCCCAAATCAGTACATAGGACAGTCGTCATCATAATTAAGGTTAAGGTGCAGAGATTAGCACTATAAAAAACTTTTAAATATTTATAATTAAGGTTATTAAAAAAAGAATGCTGTGAGCACAAATAAGCTTGCAAGCTTTATTAAAATATGTAGAAAAAGTGCGTTAACCCAAATTCACTGACGCTCTAGCCAACTAAACGGCTGATGACCACACCGACGAAAATCTTAACGCATTCCTCTACATTGTTTTTTAGCATTTGAAGCAATGCTTGGCGCCATCTATTGTTATATCCTTTCCAGCATACATTTTTCTACATATTTTAATGTTCAATCTTAAGTGCAAAGATTAGCACTATAAACAATTTAAATTTGCAAGCTTTAGTTAAAAAACTACGTTGAACTGAAATTGCCGAACAACTTGTTTTATAATTCTTTTTTCGATCTTACCGAATACTAAAACTAAGGCGTAAAAAATGGTTTTTCATAATTTTTGTTATATTAAAACATCAATAACTTAACTGAATTAAGGCACTCATCTTAATTCGCTAGAATATCAATGGGATAAAATCATAAGGTTCTGATGCATCCCATATAATATAAAACAATTAACAAACGATATTGTAATTACCTAAAACTTGAGTTAATAATGTAAAACTGAAATTAGGGTCAAAACATCATTTCCATTTTTCTTACTACCCCGTCTATCACTCAAACTCATAGTTTAATTTTACGTATTTCACGCTATTCTATACGAGTATTCTGTTTTCTATTTTTACCTTAATTTGGAATTTAAAAATAACTAAGCTGATAGTTATTTATTACTACGCGAATACAAAACATTATCAAATGAAAATACTTTTAAAGGTTTTATCGAGACCCATAATGCAGACCCCAGATGCAGTATTCCAAAAATACGTAATTTAAATTTAAAATTCATTTTTTAACATCTTTATTATTATTTTTTGCAGTAATACTTATCATATATGTTTTTTGTTGCTAGTAAATCTAAGCTACTGTAAAATTAACATAAAATTCATATACCAATAATTCAAACACAACTGTTTGTATTTCAGGACTGGCCTTGTTGAGGCTTTTCTTGCAGCAGGAAGACTACATGGTCACCCTACAATTGACTACAATGCACCAGAACAGCTTGGGTTTGGGTATGTGCAGACCACTCAAAATAGAGGGCACAGGTTAAGTGCTGCTAAAGCTTTTTTACACCCACATAAAAGAAGGAAGAATTTACATATACTTTCTGAGGCTAGAGCTACCAAAGTTATTACCGATCTGAAAACTAAAAGAGCATATGCTGTGGAGTATCTCAAAAATCACATCAAACATACCGTACGCTGTCGTAGGGAAATAATTTTATCGGCGGGACCGATTGCCTCACCGCAATTACTCATGCTATCGGGTATAGGTCCTAAAGACCAATTGGAAGTATTGGGCATTCCAGTTGTTTCGGACTTGGGCGTTGGAAAAAGCATGTATGACCACCTTGCATTCCCTGGAGTCATCTTCAAATTACATTCAAACAACGCCAGTTTACAGGAGTCGAAAGTGGCAACTTTACCAAATTTGATGCAGTGGTTGCAATTTGGCGATGGACTTATGACGACACCAGGCTTAGTAGAAGCTGTAGGATACATAAAGACCAGCTTAGCTAGTGACCATGAACAATCACCAGACGTGGAGTTGCTTAATTTAGGTGGTTCAATTGCTTCAGACTCAGGTGGTGCATTTAGGAAGAGCTTGAAAATATCGGATAAAACATATATAACAGCTTTCAGCCGCTTAACGACTGTGACACTTGGTCAGCTGTACCCGTTCTTCTACATCCGAAGTCAAAGGGCTGCCTTAAATTGAGGGACAATAATCCATTCTCTCATCCGAAACTTTTTGGCAACTTCTTCACTGACCCGCAAGATATGGAGAGGATGAAAGAAGCTGTAAAATACATCATAAAATTGGGAGAGTCAGAGCCTTTCAAAAAGTATGGAGCCCAATTGTATTTACCGCCGTATCCTTCTTGCATAAATTATGCCCCAGGGTCCGACTCTTATTGGGAGTGCGCAATAAGAACGATGGTAATTTCTCTCCAACACCATATAGGTGCCTGCAAAATGGGCCCGCCTGACGATCCTGAAGCAGTCGTTGACCCTGAATTAAGAGTGTATGGCGTAGATGGCCTCAGAGTGGTAGATACCAGTGTCTTGCCACACACAATTAGTGGACATATGACTGCCCCAGCAGTTATGATCGGTGAAAAAGCAGCGGACATGATAAAAAAGATTTGGTCGAATGTTGTCGCGTGATATGATTTAGATAATATAATTAAAATAATAAATTATTTGTAACAATTAGTACATTTCATTTTGCTTTTCTTTGCTTGCATCATTTAAAAAGTTTAAATTTTGTGAATTGTTTTGCTGCACTCGCCTCGTTACCGCTACTGCTGTTGAATAAATGGACAGATGACTATTCGGGGAAATACCACAGCCTGGCTAGAGGTCTGCGTGAAGTGTAACTATCCTATATCGAGCGCGTGATAAGTGACTGAGCTAACCGGGACCTATTTTATAAAGGTTGGGAAAGCATCAATAACCAACAGGTGGTATAAATGTCAATTTAAAATTGTTGTTGTATCGGACACGAAAAGGACGAATGAAGAAAGACCGATGAAAAGAATGTATGAATAAGTAGATAATATGGACGTAGCAGATGTAAAGGAGACTAGCGGAGAGTGCGATATCCTTTTCTTTCACCTGCTCTTATCCCATCGAGTTAGAGATGGCTCAACAAATCAATCATGATATGAATTGTATTGCTGGGTGTTTTAAGACTAGAAGGTTTTTAGGACTTAGTAGGTCTTGCTAGGTATGCTAAGGAGTCTATCCTTAGGAATAATTACCCAGAACCTGAACGATTATCTGTGGTCACAAATACTTGTCCCGTGTACTTGCTTCGGCAGTACATATATACTTGTCCCGTGTATCTCGGCGCTGAATTATATGTGCTTAATTATTTAGATAAAAATGCACAAACAGTTTTTCGTCGCTGTGGTAATCTAACTTTTTAACGTTAACGTTGCCACACCGCCGAAAATGTCAACGTCTTTTATTTGTTTTATTTTATTTTTTTTTCGTATTTAAAGCAATGCTTATCAACATTCATAACATAGTTGAAAGAAGATAACGATTACTTCCGGCTACATACGATAGAATTATAAGGCTGGAATTAGTGGCGCGGGTGATCCGTTTAGGAATTCAAACAACGACCATCATAAAAGGACATGTCTAAGGCGGCAATCTCTGCGCCAACTACGCGTACACACGTGGAATACGAACCCGCCGCAACGGTATAACCATAATCATTCCTAAAATACTACCGAGATAAAATGACAACAAAGCAGAGAGGGGTCTTGAGGCTATGGAATAATAAATTTCGGGAAACGGATAGTTCTTGGCGGTGTTTTTTTTTTAACTCATTACAATAACGAATAAATATTATTTTAAATATCTTTGTACGTTTTGGTGATGTGTTAACATGTAATTGGTTAAAAAAAAGACGTTAATGTTAAACAATTAACGCCGGCAATATCTACTATACCTGTTTACTGACTCCGTGGCGCAGTTGCCAATGCTTCCGCGTTGGGGGTCGTGGGTTCGATTCCCACACTCTACAACTATTTGTGTGACCCACATTTTTCGCATCTGGGTGTTTGTCCTGAATTCATGTGAGATTTATGTTTGTAAAACGTCCTTACAACACAGGATAATGCTATCCTTAAGTGCACTCACTTTTTAAAAGTTTTTATAATAGAAAACAAAAATAAGAAAAAACTACGGTTTGGAGATGATTTTTCAATCTTCAAAGTCTGGGCCCCGATTACCTCACTATAAGGAACCGTATTAGTAAGTAGGTCGTACTTTAAGTACCTAGTTGTAAGTATTTTATACCTCTACTTCAGCTATAATCGTCTTATAACATGAAAATAATTGTAATTGAATAAAAATATAAAAACAATTGTAATTAAATAAAAATAAAACATCAAATATAAATTAGAATGGGTATGCATATACATGATATCTAGCATGTTATTACTTATTTCGTTTTTATTTTTAATTTATTTCAGGTTATATTTATAAATATGAGGAAATTTTATTAACCAAAACGAGTTTCGGGTGAGTTCTATTCGAAAATTCAGAGTAGTGTTTTATTAAATGAATGGGCTGGAAGCGCAGTCGCCCACGCTCCGTCGAGCGCGCGAACGTTGCGAAAGTGTCCGCGGTGCCGCCTCAACAAGTGAAGCATTTAAGTCATGTAGTCACATTAACGACTGCCGAGTTATCACTGGAAAGTGCGAATTAATAAATATGTAGGTTGATACTAGTTAAATTACGCAGTGGCTAAACGTATATAAAACCATTTGAATTTTATTTGTAAGTAAATAAAAGTTTGGAGCGCAAGCTTCCTCGTTAGTGTTTTAGAATATCGCATCAATTAAGAGAAATCTAGAAAAAAAATTGATATACTTTAATTAAAAAAATGCATTTTAAAGGAACTCGTCGTAACTTATATTATAAAGGATATATTTTATTACTCTAATTTACACTGCAATGAAAAAAAAATTGTAGACAGCAACATATTTTTAAAAATCCTTAGATTTATTTATTAATTTATCATCAACATTGTACTATATTGTAGCCCGTGCATTTTGACAAGAATTTACTTAAAACCAAAGATCTTTTTGGACCAAAATATAATAACGGATTTGAAAATAATGTAATAACTTTTGATGCAATTATAATTAACAAGAACAATATAAGTGTAATAAAAACAAACTTAATAGTATTGAAATATGTGAAAACGTTAGAAACTTTGCATCTTGATTTGTAGATGGTTCATATATTTTTTTTATTTACATGCTCTCTGTAACAATGCTTAGATGAATATTTCATGTTTATGTCATGACTAAACTTTTTGTAATGAAAGCTATTTAAAAATTTTGTAATAGATAAAGGAAATTAATTTCCACAAAGCAAAGGATAGCAACGCGGAAGAATGTAATTTTTGCGAAGATTTCTTCAGTTCTAATACTAGCCCATTGTTTAAGCACGGCTAAAATATTGAAGTGTCAAAATGTTATCATTTACCCCACCAAGATCTTGTGCCATTTGACGTCAAGGTTTTGCTTCGTACGTGAAGCTATTACCGCGTAGGACGTGAAATACGACATAAATGTACGAGTTACGATTCTCGTTTCTATTGCCCATATAATGCGCTCACTGTCACGTTAGATTGAAATTGCCAACTCTATCATCAGATACGGCACCATGATTGCGGTTGCGAATATAAGCCTAGTTTTGAGATCGTAAACGATGGTAATTATTACTTTTTCTTGACAGTGTTGTATTTCAGAATATAACCACCCATAAAACGTAGCACTCAAAAATTTAACGATACCAAATCACAGTGAGAGTGAAAGGAAATGAAACAGTTTGATGTTGTGAATGTTCATTGGAAAATTAAAATTGCTTAGTGAGCTTTAATTGATGGAAGACCATGGAAATTGTTTCCAGTTTCCAGTTCGTAACTGAACAGTTAACCGTCGGAGGGTGTGCGCGCTTCCTAATTGGCTAGAGGAGAACGGGCAACGCGTTCTTAGATATGGTTCGGGGTATCAGTTGATATTAGTTGGGGTAAAAGAGGTTGCAAAATGGCGGCACGAGGGACCAAGCGGATGTTGTCAATTTTGTTCAGCACATTGCTGCTGGGACGTGCTATTGCAGGTAAGGGGCTTTTGAAATTCTATTCCTCTGCTTTATAAATGTAGTTCGAAATTACATCCGGACCCGGCCTTTGATAATTTTACGCTGCTTCGCCTCCTAAAATACAATATGGAAAATTGCATATAAGAACAATTTTCTTGTAATATATCTTTTTAAAAGTAAGTTCACAGCGGTAAATGCGGTGATTCTTCGGCGAGCGGCGATTTAATTTTTCTCACTTTTCCGTAACAAGGTTCAGGCGGGTACGTGGCGCCATTAATCGTGTTGATCGTGAAATGCGACATAAAAATGCGAGTAACGACATCGCCATTCTATTGACCATATAATGCGTCAACGGCGTCATCCACGACGTGATTGCATTCGAGGTTTTCTGATTGAAATGGGACCCAGTTGAAGACCAACGGAGGAAGTTTATTGGCTCCTTTACGGCGTCGACTTAATTGCACTGTGGAAAGGATTACGCTTTAGAATACTAAACCAACGTTAATCACATCCCAGTCAGTTACGTTTTCTTATTTTTTTTCTTATTTGACGAATAAACACATGGTTCAATAATAAACTACTACATGAGTAATGGGAACCTAGAATGTATAACTAAGACGGTGGTAGGGCCACGCAGCAGTCTCGGCTGTTGCACGAATGTGCTCGTCCGGGTAAGTACCACGACCTCACAGAAGACCGGCATAAAATGGAAGGATAATACTTTCGCGTTTCGTTAGGTGAGTGAGGTGGCCGAAGCCCAATTTTCAAAAGGTTGTCAACGCATCTGCAACCCTCGAGTGCAGCAGATGTCCATGGGCGGCGGTATTCACTTAACATCGGGTGAACCGACTGCTCGCTTGGCAACTTTTCACATAAAAAAAAGATAAGAATTGCAACTCTAGTCGAACTTTTCAAATTTGAATGTTAATGTTACATGGCTGCTTAATGTTAGTATAATGTTTTTACTGATAACTGTTTTACACATAAAGGTACATGTTAATTAATATGTATGCCTGTTTTTTTGTTCTTTGTAAGATTATGAAATGTGAATTTCTCAGTCCGAACAACAACAGAAATGTTTTCAGATCA